CACACACACACACACAGACAAGCATGTGTGTGTGTGTGTGTGTGTGTGTGTGTGTTCTGTGAGTTTTTACTGTCTTCCTTTAATAAACAGCTCTCGTTTCAGCTCCACATTGTGGTTTGGTTTCTCTTGCGTCAGAGACACTGAAGGTAGTTTGATGCTCTCAGATCTGAAGATCGCAGCTGTCGTCTGACTCTACAGGTTTTCACTCATTCATAATCAGGGTTATTTCCACTCAGTCTTTCAAAACTCGGGAATCAAACAGAATTGATTTGTAACAGATGTCCTATTAATATGTGGTAAAACTGTGACTTGTCTATTTTAAAATTACAGTCAGAAATGTGCCATTCTTCTGCCTTGCAACAGTTTAGGATTATTTATATATTTTTAGAGTATGCTTTTATTAGTATTAACTTTTTTTTTTTATATAATTTAAGTTTTCATTTGCATTTTAGTTTGTCAAGTGCTTTAATTTTTGTTTGTTTTTTAATAAAAGAAATATATATAAAAAATAAAAGCTAAATGGAATAAAATAAATTAAAAATAAAAGTTAAATAGAATTATATATTTAATATATATAATTCTATTTAGCTTTTATTTTGTTTATTTTCATTATTATTTTTATTTGTAATAGTTTTGGTTAATAACATCACTGCCGCATAAACACATATTTTAAATATGGAAAATGATGAGAGGAGTCAGCATCAGGATCATGTATCTGCTGTATTTGTGCAGATTATTCTAACTAAGTTATAGCTGATTTCTCATGTTCAGATGATGATGACAGAAGAGTATGATGCTTTGTTCCCTCAGCAGCCCTTCATCTCGGGACCCTAATGAACCATGTTTGGAAACCTGTCCTCATATGGAAGTTTTACAAATATATCATGTGAAGAATGTGTGCAAAAATCTAAAGATGCTTTTAATCATCAAGAAGTCTTGCACCAGTTTTGGTCTTAGAATTGACCACAAGGTGGCGCTATAAGAAGTGAATTTACGGATCTCTCAGACTTCTTGTTTTAAATTTCCTGGAAAACACGTGAGACTGAAATAATGCATCATCAGGAGACTCTGATGGAAAAGCTTGATAAAAATACAGATTTCTGTTCTTGTGTGAGATTGTCTGGCGCGTGCCGATCAGTGCAAACCAAATCCGTGCTGTCAGGTCATTCCTGTTTCGCCAAAGTAAAGCTGCAAGATTGTTCAAACTTGACAGGTTTGAATGTTTTCATGAAGGTCAGAGTTGATTGTCAACCTCCAAAGATTTAACTGTTTTAAAATTTACTTTTAATTTAATTTATTTATCATTTAAACCCGTTTAACTTCTAGGTGGTTTGCCATTTTTGCGAAATGTTTGATCATTGTTCTCAAAATAACTTTGGTAACAGGGTCGAATGACTGATATTGAGGAATATCACCATAATAATTGTGAAAATAGAGTGACATGACTTAATAATCTTTCATATGTTCTAAATATGTTTTCAGAACATCCAGTTTTTGGTTATTTTTGTAAACATTATGGGAACGTTACTTCTGAGTCTTCTCAAAACTATCTTAGACGAACATCCAACTAAAATGTTACAGAAAAACGTTCCATACACGATGTATAAGTAACGTTTTTGTGCTAACGTTCTGAGAACATCTGCCGAACGTTCTGTTAATGTTACAGATAGAACGTTGGTTCATGAGTTCGAGAGAACCTGCCAGAACGTTTGCTGTGAAATTATACAGTACAGACATTTGATGTGTTTAAAGCCAGTTCGCTTTCATGCGAGGTCCATTTAATGTGAGATGAGAGTTTGGTTCAACTACGGAGCGACAGACGCGCAAGAACATGATCGCATCTGAACGCGATTAAAGCGTTCGGCGGATGAGTCTGAGATGATTTATGGTGAATAATGCGCTCGTGTGGAGGATGAAGAGCTGGATGATGCTCAAGTGATCCGCTGGTTGTCGCGCTCGGTGTGTGTTTGTGTTTGTGTCGGTGGTCCGGAGGGCGGAGCTGCGGGTCTCTGCGCCCCCGAAGAGCGTCATTTGAGCAGAAAACAGACCGCGAGAGAAGCAGCGCGGACGGGCTCGGCGCTCCAGTTAACGGATATCAGGCGCGGATCGAGGCGTCGACGCACATCGAGAGTGGTTTTCTCTTTCGTCCGCAGCGGGATGGATTTACACGCGGACGCCCGACACGAGCGCGATCCGCCCGCATCACCGGCCGAGCGTCACTGAAGCATCATCCGCCCTCCGCGACGCATCCGACCGCTCCGATGCGAACAAAAGCCGCGCATTCACCTCCACCCTGAGCGACCATCCGCAATGACGCGCTCCGCGACGCATCCGACCGCTCCGATGCGAGCAAAAGCCCCGCTTTCACCTCCACCCTGAGTGACCATCCGCAGTGAACATCTAGAGGAGCGTCAGGCGATGGGTGAGACACACACACACACACACACACACACACACACACACATCACGGACAGACAGACGGCTCGGTGGATGGGGAGCAGAGATCACGGGCGTCTTATTAACCGCTCGCTGCTGCTGCTGCTGCTGTTATTAATATCACTGATGCGGATTCGCTTCTGATCTGATGTGGGTTTGACTCTGGAACGTGCTGTTTGACATTGCAGATTATGTTATCAAAGCCAAATATTTACCCAAGCATGTAAATGTGATTTAAATATGTAACTGAATCACTGTGTTCAGGCCTCTGAAGATGCAGTGCAGATTCTGATTCGGTTTGACTCCAGATCTGTGTGGAAACATCATATCAGATGCCTAAATGTGATAAGAACGTGGCCGATTCATGATCAACCCAAAAAAATAAGAAATTGTGTTTTGTATACAAGTAAAACAAAGCCTATTTTTAGCTGCTGTTAATATTACTGATGCTGATTCGCTTCAGATCTGATTTGGTTTTGTCTCCAGAACGAGCTGTTTGACGTTGCAGATTGTTATCAAAGCCAAATATCAGGGTTCAGCTAGCTTTTGCATCTCGTGTCACGTGTAAATGTGTGATATAAACATTGCATTGGTGAAACCCTGCAGGCCTCTGAAGATATAATCCAGATTCTGATGCGGTTTGACTCCAGATCTGTGTGGAAACATCAGCAGATGCCTAAAAGTCTGTTTTTTAGTAGATCTGGAGTCACTCGCTGTTGCTGCTGTTTATTACGCTTCCGCTCAGATCTGATGTGGTTTTGTCTGCAGAACGAGGTGTTTGATACTTAAGGTTATGTTACCAAAGCCAAATATCTCGCCAGGCGTGTAAATGTGATTTAAATATGTAACTGATTCCAGATCTGTGTGGAAACACCATATCAGATGCTTAAATGTGATAAGAACATATCAGACTCATAATTCAGAAATTATGTTTTGTATAAGGAAAGTGAAGGCTATTTTTTGCATGATTTGGATTGTGACATAATTGACCATTTCCTGTTAGTTTGGAGTTTTTATTCTTCTAAATTCTCAGTATACTCAAACATTATATATTATCTACATTTTCTGTGTGAGTGTGTGTGTGTGTGAGTGTGTGTGTGTGTGTGTGTGTGTGTGTGTGTGTGTGTGTGTGTGTGTGTGTGTGTGTGTGTGTGTGTGTGTGTGTGTTTGAACACACGGCGAGCAGATGTTGAGGCTCATGTCTTCTTCAGCTCATATGGTGTGTAAGATAACAGACAAACATCACGAGCTGACGGAGTCAACATTTGGAGGACTGTGTGATCACAGGATCCGTGTGTCGGTACACTGAAGAGTTTAACGATGTTCAGTGACGGAGGACTGATCCAGGTCTGAATGGATGAGCTGGCGGACGTCAGGTGTCTCGTGTTAAATAACATCTGAACACAAATGATTGCTCACTGGATGTGATTGTCATTTGATTCGAGTTTGAATGCTTTTGATGATCTGTTCTGCTTGTCTCATGTTAATAGTCAAATCAGAAATCACTTTCCACAACACTTCTCCTCCTGCACAAATTAACTCAACATACGAACACAAAAGCACACATATCCGTCACTACTGTAAATATCTGAGACGTGCAGCGAATCTGCCGTGGCTTCATTTGGATCCAATAACAGATGAAGTAACTCTCAGTATTGTGTCTCAGTGTGAATGTCGATTATTGAAGTGTAGTGTGCAGTGAAGTGTTGTTAGTCTCTGATCATGTGAAGAGTTCAGCAGAGGCTGTTCATGTAGAACCACACGCACGTGGGACTGTAAGAGAAGGGTGAAAAATGAGCATGAAAGACTAAATTATCACTGTTCTTGGCTAAAAAAACACTTAAGTGAATGTCAGATGAATATTTATTTATCTACCATCACAGAGAGCCACAAAACCACTTTCCAGAACATTTTCATTCTCTGTTCTTTGCTGGTAGAATGATCTTCCCACCCTCATCTGAAATGCCCAATTCCTGACGATATTTAAGCGACATGTGAAACTCATCTCTTCCTTGAGCATTTAATTGCATCCTACTAAAAAAAAAAATTCTATGCTTTCTCTCTCCCTCGTCTAGCTTGTATTTTTCGAAACAATGTGTGAAACTTTGTATTACGAGCACTTCTCGTGTTTCTTTGCCTTTTTGATGAATTGCTTGTTATATTCCTCCTTAAAACAGTGTCTAAAATAAGCGTCTGCTAATGAATAAATGTAAATCTACACTGAAAAAAAAATATTAAAAATTTTATCTTTTCTTTTGCAAGGTTTTGCACTCATATTTGTGAAGTAAATTTCATAATAAATAAATATTTATTTATTACATTTAAATAAAAATGATTGGTACATTAAATTCCACACACTCCATTAAGTAAAATCCACTTGAATCAGCTCTAAATTCTGTCATCATTTACTCATCCTCACGTCGTTCCAAACCTTTATGAGTTTCTTCCTTCTGTTGAACATAAAAGAAGATATTTTGAAGAATGTTGGGAACCAAACAGTTGACGGTAGCCATTGACCAACATAGTACGGAAAAAAATACTTTGCAAGTCAATGGCTACCGTCAACTGTTTGGTTCCCAACATTCTTCAACATCTCTTCTTTTGTAAATTATGGCATATTTTCCAGTTTTGGGTGAATAGCTCTTTATCTAAATTAAAATTAAAGCGAATAAGTACATATTGTCTGATTTTGCTCATTTTTTTAAGGAAAGTGTTTGAATAGAATTAATTTTAGAAATGCATTTCCAGTTTGTCATTGCACTGAGCAGAGTTACACTCCTGTAACGAAGCAACAAACTCTCGTTCATCATCACCTCAACCTCAAGCTCAACGCCAACCACAGAAACATCAGCAACTCAACATAACCCAACATTAAACACTAGCAGCTCTTTACTCACAAATGCATAAAATAACACTTCACTTCGACATTTACTCTCTCTATTGAGTCCTTTGCAAAGCATGCTGGGAACTAAAAATCCACCCATGCAGCTGCAGTTAATGCAATACAAATGATTCATACAGTCCAGAGTAAATGAACTTCAATGCTACATATTTACTGCGATAAAATGTTCAGCAGCTCTGTTGCTTCAGATCAGTAAATTAATTTAAATAAACACATTTTCCCAGTGCACAGAGAGAAAATCTCAAATGAAGATAAACAAAAGTTGTGTTTCGATGTAATGCATGTGATATAGACGATGCAACTGTTCTTGAAGGTTCGGTCCAGAAAGATTTTATTGTCGTATTTGAGGCGATCTGTGCACGTTCAGATGAAGCAGTGGTGTGTGTGTGTCAGGCGTGTGAGTGAATTTGGTGTGTCGGTGTCTCCTTACAGCTGCGTCCTGAACACACCTACTGCAGCCAAAATGGTGCTGACCTGTTTGTGACCTCTGAGTGTGAGCCAAGCGACGCCTGACGGAACGTTCCACTCGCTTCCCGTCAGCGGGGGGATCGTCCTGTAGACACACACACACACTCTCCAGCTGTGCACTTCCTGCTCTCTGATGACCGCTTCCTGTCCCAGAGCCTCCTGACATCCTCTGTCCAGTCCAGTTAGAGTAATAACAGATTCACTGCTTCATACTCAACACACTCGTGTTCATTCATGTGTGTGTGTGTGTGTGTGTGTGTGTGTGTGTGTGTTTTCAATTTTTTCTAATCTAATTTAAGGTGTGCATTTATGTGTGTGTGTGTGTGTGTGTGTGTGTGTGTGTGTGTGTGTGTGTTTGAGTGCCAATCACAGCACATCTGAATGCATTGTGGGCCAATCAGATCAGGCTGTGGGCGGGTCTTTGACAGAAATAGAACTCAGAGTTTCCAGTCAGTTATCAGAGTTATGGCTTGTTAAGACACACCCACTGATTTACATGGAAGAGAAGCTTGACTTTAATCGTGTTCCTCTTCAGTGATCAGCTGTTCACCCAACCAACAGAAATAAGTTCTCTGAACTTGCTGTGGCTCCCATTAAGTTATAAAAACGTTATTTCTGAACTTTCAAAATGTTCTGTTTTAAATAGTGTTTTAAAACTGTTTTAAAAATGTCCAAATAGTTGTGATTAGAACGTTATTTAAAGGTTACAAGAACGTTTCCTAGAACGTTCATCAAGTGCAAATAAGATCATAAGGACGTTCAGAGAACTCCCACTAATGTACATCATGGTGCTTGTTTTACTGACTTTAATTTATGCAGATTTAAATATACAAATTACAATTGAATGAAAATCACCATTGAGAATAAATAGAAACACAAACAAACCCCAAAAGTAAAGTGTCTGTCTGTTCACAATCATGAATGTTTAGGGGGAAAATGTGTTTAATTGTCATGAAACTGACGTCACAATGCAGAAAAATCTTAATGCTCCTAAAACAAGCTTCATTTTATTTCTATAAAGTCTCTGATATGAGCGTTTGTTCGGGTGACGTGTTCCTTGCCCGCATTCAGACAGAACCAGTGTTTGTGTGGACTGAGCAGATACTGAGCGGCTGGAGAATGAGCTCTATTGTACTGCACACACACACACTCACACACACACTCACACACACATTGTCCAAGACTGAGTTTGGCTCCGGCCACACTTTTGGTGACACATGACGTGTGACGTATGTTTCCATGGTGACATACATGACGCAGCGGGAGACTGTGGAGCTCTTCAGTCTGCCAGACCATCTGATGCATTCACACACACACACACACACACACACACAGACGGGTCACAGACGCTGTCTGGAGATCAGAGCTGTTAGTCAGTCGCTCATCTCTGTGACTCGGTGAGGAGCGGGTTAGTGTGATCACATGCACAGTTTTCACCTGCTGGACCAGAAAAATCCTACAGACGCACAGTGAAGGATCCACATCTACAGACCAGAAGATCTCTGACACATGAGGGTGCAGGACATGTGAACTCCAGACAGGAAGAACACACCTAGCAACCACCCAGAACATCCTAGTAACCACAGTGCAACACTTAAGACCTCTCAGAAGACTGTAGAAACCACTGAACAGCAGAGCAGCATGCTGATCAGTTTTTCATCACAAACCCATTGTGCAGAAAATGCAAAATCATAGCATGCAAAATTTGTAACTTCCCTTTATAGAGTACACACACACACACACACACTCACACATACAGTGACATGCTGGTTGTCCTGGAATGTAAGGCTGACCGTGATTTGTGTATGTTCTTGTGTTGATGGTTACGCACACAGGAGGTGTGTTGTGTTCTTTGTTTGTCTCAGTTGCTGCTGATTTCTCTTCTATTGTCTTCAATAGCTCATTTACAGATGCTTCAGCTTCAGTTTTCGCTTATTTTCTTTGACTTCCTCCAGATACGGAGCGATGCTTCACACATGCAGACTGTAAGTAAAAGCAGAAAACAGATGTTTGATTCACTGCTGTCATGAAGATGAGCTGCAGCTTGACAGGATATGTGTGTGTGTGTGTGTGTGTGTGTGTGTGTGAGAGAGTGTGTGTGGAGGTTTGTTGTCTCATCCAGTCGTGTCTCTGAGGAATTCTGTTCTCTTATCCAAAATTCATGGAGCTTAATCAGTCGATTAGTTTGGTGCTTGGTAACAGATCCTGTTTGGGAATGTGCCCAACATGCTGCTTTCTGACCCACACGTCCACTGAATGACCTGAACACACACACACACACACACACACACACACAGAAGAAGAAAAGAAAACGAGTCTTAATAGACTTTTCACACATTTCCTCAATGTCTGCAGTTATCTTTCACTAGTTGCATTCACTTGTTTCCCAGTCATCATGAATGTTGAATTTTCAATACAACTGAAATATTTGAGAGAACATCACATAAGCTAACTTCATATTCAATTGATGTTGATTTTCCTAAAAAGTTTTTTTTAATTTTTTTTTTATTCACCATTACAGTGATTAGCGTTCCCTCTGGTTGGGCACTTGGAACTTTGTTTATGTTGCTATAGTTTTCTTCCTGTTAGTGCAGCAATGCATCATGAAGTCAGAGTTTTTTGGCTTCAAGAGAAAAAAAGTAATAAATAGGTTGCTTTTAGAAGATGACCTATCTTCTAATTAAATGAATGTTATTGTTTTGAGCTTGTGTTAGTCAACGAACTTTTACAAAATGTATTTTTCATAAATACCTTAAGAAACTTAAAATTGGGTTTGTATAATCCTTAAATAGTGTGTATGCTGAAGTCACACACAGACTTAAACATTCAGCACGCGAATCACAACAATGGTAACAATTCAATTTCATTTATTTTTATTAATTGTAACAATAACCATTTTATTCGCTCTTTTTGTTGTGCTACTTCTGACACAAGACAGCAAATAAAATTGGCAAATAAAATCAACAACTGTGAAACAAAGCAACTGCATCATTTATTCTGCCGCAATGCTCTCTGGGAGTCAGTTGAGTAGCTATACTAAGTCATGAGTAAACCTAAATGAAAGGATCAAGTACCCCCTACAGTTCTTTTTTAGTTACTAGATCTCTCGTGTAAGTAAACTATACTAACTAAGCATCTGACAGTGCAACATACTATTCCTATTTCACTTTACTTAGTTTTTTCAAGGCAATCGGTTTGCATGCTTTTTTTAAGTAAGCCCAACTAATTAGACATTTGCATAAACAAAACCATTTTTCATGGTATTAAAACAGCGTTACAGTAATGAGAATCATTTCTGTACAATTCTTGTTTTTATGGGTAAATAATGCATGTTCTTGACAAGAGTTCATAAGTTTCATCCTTCATATCTCTTGTACTGTAACTCTTAATAAATTACATCTTCCTCAAGATTCAAGACTCAGTACTGCCATTCTAGTGTAGTTGAGTTTATCTCAGTGTGCACAGAACATGGAGCCAAAAATAGCAGCAGTAAACAGGGCTGTACGCAGGGTTTCATAAATACAGCAGTCCTAAAACTGAGCTCGATCTGAGTGAGAACGAGGATTGTTGAGGGATTCCTGTGGAAACTGAGCTGTGTGTTCTCGTGACTGAGACTGCTGAGATCTCTTGGATAAACATCCCAGACTTCAGGAAAACTGCCATTTGTTGTCTGTTTAATCTGAGACTGGGACTGGTCAGTGATGTTGTCTGATGCTGGCTGTGGTTTTGTGTGTTTGTGAGTGCTGTGAGAGTTCAGGGTGAGCCATGTTCCTCTCTTATTTCACACAACACACACTGCTGTTTTCTCACAGCGGTTGATCTGCTGGAAGTGTGTGTGTTGACATTTCTTCACTGAATTTCACAGCATATGAATAGATGTTTTCATTTTCCTCTGTTACTGGTTACCTGAAATAAAACCTGTAAAAATAGTGAGGTTCTCTAGCACTGGGCCCAATACAGCAGAAATAAAACAAACAAAATCCAATTATATATACTGTATATATTAGTGCAATCAATCGATAAAAAAACATTTAACTAATTAATCCCACCTAACATTAAAGTTTTAAAATATACTTCTATATTGCAGTAATTTCACATTCAATCTTCAGATTAATGTAGAAACAATATAAAGACAGTATTTTTTAATATTTAATGGTGTCTTTTTTATGACTGAAGGCGAGTATCACTGATACCAATACTACTGATGTCTCTAGGAAATAGTTTTCTTTTTCCTAATATTTAACCATTGACTAGCCATTCAACATTACAGTATAACTGAGAGCTGTCAATTTAAACATTTATTAGACTTAAAAAAAATGTCTAATTTAAGTGAACTTAAAACAATCTTCATATAAACACATTATAATAAATGTCACATTTAGCAAACCTGTGCCCTTCAGAAAGTAGGAAATATACAGAAATTGAATATAGTTTTCAAACACTAAATTCTAAATTAAATATAGATGAATCCTTAAAGCTACAAAAGTGATTGATTTCCTCTTTTTTTATTTTGTTCTTTGATGAACAGTCATCACAGCAGCTGGTTATGAGGTGATTTTGGCTGCTTTAAGAGCTTCTGCTGCTGAACATGACGCAGATCTGACACGCATCGTAGTTTCTCATAACTCTTTACCTTTTCTGACCCACTTCTCTGCTAATGAGCTGACGAGTTGAATCGGGTGTGTTAGATGAGAGAGACAGTGCTGCTGCTTCAGGACTCTTCAGAGACATGTTCTTAAATCTGACCCCATATATAACAAATACTAACATACATGCACAGTTTTAAGGCAGCTTTAATCAACTTTTTGGTAACTTTATGACTTAACTGATGACATACTTATGACATTGCATGCTCGTAGTTTCTTTCGCGCTTTAATATTAAACGATACGGGCTACAGCGCGCGCTGCATTTGTGCGTGCAATTAAAGAGCACAGTATAACAGCTGACAGGACAGGAAAAATCATTTCTACTGACAGACGGCCTGATGACAACTCATCTGAGCGCAGTTCACTGTTGTTCTACTGAAGCTCCTCGTCACCTGTACCTGTTCTGCGCTTGTTTGACTCGCACCCGGCGCTGAGGTGAAGTTTCGTCTGAAAATCTCCCATTTGATGTGGTTGTAAAGCTGTTCTGCGTCTAAATAAACACAATTCTTGTCAAGAAAAAAAAAGAGACAGAAGCAGTTGTGAGTGGGGTGGCCAACCCTAGCTCCAATCCTGTGTTAAATATTTTGAAAGCGTTAAACTGAAAAAAATTAAGCATTGACACGCTAGTTTTCACAGCACTAATGTGTATATATATATATATTTATTGTGTAAACCGCTATGCAAATAAAGGTGACTTGACTTGACTTTACTATATATATATATACATATATTTGTATAGTGCTTTATACAGTACTGATTGTGTCAAAGCAGCTTTACAGTGTTAAACAGGATAATAGTTTGTCAATAATGCAAGAAGACAATAACAGTCATTTTTCCAGTTAAATTAAGTTTATCATTGATTCAGTGATGTCATCATCCAGTTCAGTTCTCTTTCAATAGTGTCTGTGCATAGATAGATAGATAGATGCTAAGACATTTATATAAAAAAAATATTTTTGATAAGTTTACCTACTTATATTTTCTCATATATTTTTGGTCATTTATAAAAATGCTGCCTTTTAATTGTAAATATATTTTTAAAAAATAGATTTTGCATTCACCCAAAATGTATTTTAAGATTGGAAATGTTTTTTTTGTAATGTAATCTAGATGGAGCCGTGGAGCTCTGGAGTGTCTGTGTGTTTATATCTGAGCAGATGTTTGCTGATGTTCATCAAAGTGCCTGTATTGTGTCTTCATCAACACAACTTCACGAAGAATAAGAAACGCTCTGCTGCAGCCGGATCACAGCATCCAGACTGGACTGAACCGGAGCGGGCTGCAGTGTTGAGCTGAACACATGGGAATACTGATTCCTGCTACAGTGCAAGATGAGGATGCTTTGTGTGTGAGTGTGAGTGTGTGTGTGTGCGTGCGTGCGTGCGTGCGTGTGTGCGTGCGTGAGTGTGTGTGTGTGCGTGTGAGTTTGCATGTGGTTTATGAAGACACAAATTTGTATAATAACATGGGTATGACATAGGTATTACAACGAGAAGGTGATTTATGAGGACATTTTCAGTGTACCCGTAATTCAAAAGGCTTATAAATAATTCAGAATTAGTTTTTTTGAAAATCTAAAACTGCAGAACGTTTCCTGTGAGGGGTAGGTTTAGGTGTAGGGTTGGTGTAGGGCAATAGAATATACAGTTTGTACAGTATAAAAACGCGTATGGACAGTCCCCACAAACCATAAAAACCAACGTGTGTGTGTGTGTGGGAGTTTGTGTTAAATCCAATTTGGCTGGCAGTTGTTGCTCTTTTTATTCCTCTTCCCACAATAATGCATCGGTTGATTTGTGTCTTGCCATGTGATGCAATTTGAGTGTGTGTTCAGCGTCAGAACACCTGATCGCCCAATCACATCACTGCTGAGCGCTCTGCTCCTCTCATTAACTCGGTTAGCTGAGTATTTAACTGCTGTGTTGCTAATTCAGCCTCTTCCTGTTCCACATGTCTGTGGTCCTCTCCCACGTCCAGGAAATCTGTTTATTTGCTTTGGATTCTGACGGGAGTTTCTTAATTCATACAGCACGGAATCAGAGGATGTTTCGCAGGACACATACTTGCACTAATACACAAACGCAGTTGTAGGTACTTCACATGCACTCTTGTGTTGGTCTGATGGTAACAAACCATGCTGTTGAGAATGCAACACATACTTGCATTTCAGAATGCAACAACACACTAAATGAAGCATAAGTAGAAGTGTTTGCGTTAACGTATTAGTGTAGTTTCGAGCCGCACACATTTATCCTCCCAGCTCTGTCCTGAACTCCACACAAGCGTCTTGAGTTCACAACAGCATCTTCGGTGTCCATGATGTCCGGCGTCTAACTGCGATGGGAATAATTGCAGGGAACGTTCTCATAGGGTGTTTCGTTACTATCCCTGATGATCTGGAAGGTCAAACACACTGAGGAGCTTCTGTTCTTCAGCTGCTCTGAAAGGCTGGAGAGAAACCTGTTCATGAGCATTTCATCCAGTCGTGATCACTGAGCACTTTACATTACAATCACATATAGCATTCCAGTGAGGAAAATGCCACAAAATGCCCTTTTATATTTCTGATGCCGTTATGAAGCACCCAAAATCAACTCGAGTGCTATACATATATTGTGATTTCCCTTGGTTTGTTTTGTTTTCACATTCATGTAATCCCAAATATATTACAATCAACCACATTTCCAGTTCCCAAATATGTTTGGGACTGCCCTACTGTAAATTCATTTGTGTAATTTTTGCAGGACCTTATTTAAAATATTGTCAAATGCACAGAGAAACTCCATGGAAAAAGAAGCTTAACAGGACCAACTTAAAATGACACGTTATCATATCACACTGAATTTAACATTTGAATGTGAGCATGTAAGGTTATTCAGCAGTAATCAATTATCTTCCAAATCAGCGCGAGTCTCTGATTTCTGTTCCAAATCTAAATCTCTCTAAACTCTGTTTCTCTCTCTGTTTCTCAGGATGAAAATGAGACGTCACAGGGTTTTCTTGATTTGCACGGTGGGACTGTGTGTCATTTCCTTCCTGCATTACTACAAGGCTCTCCACTACGTGTCCCTGCTGAGGGAGTTGTCTGCACCTTACCCTAACATCAAATCCTTCATCATGGTCACTGGTTTCTTCTGGAAGGAGGGCACCACCCCGCTGTCCAGTGCGTCTCCGGAGGAAGGGCCTCCACTGGTCCACAGGCTGTCAGACAGCAAGCCCCGGGCCGGAGGAGGCCTGGAGCTCGACACCGGACAAGAACCTGAAGCACCACAGCCGTGGAAGAGACCTGAAGATCCGCAGCGCTGGAGCTCGGGGACGACAGAGGTACCAGCGCTGCTCTTCTGTAAATTCATGTGTGATTTCTGCACCAAACAAACACTCCCACGTCTGTCATTGGTCAGTCAGATGGATATTCCCACCTCAAACTCATCCGATTCGTTAGGGTTTAGGTTAACTCTAACCTAAGTCAAAAGTTGACATGTGGGGTCACTCAAACAGATCGATGTTGTGACTGTAAATGTCTTACAGACATTGAAACTGAAAGAGCCAAAACATGCAAGAAAATTACAATGCATACATAATATAATGCATAATATCATTTCGAATTTTGAGTGGTCCAGGTATTTAAACAATCACTGGGGATAATATTCAAGATTATGATTACTGCTTCCACAAATGATTGTGAATGTGCTGATTACAGCATTAGACTCCCATTGTGTGGACAAGTTTTAAGCAGTCAGATGTTTCTCTTTTGTTTGCTTTGGCACATGAAAATAAAAGTGGATTTTCTTGATGCTTCGCCATTCGCTTAAAATGTAGAATATAGTGAATTCACTGCAAGCGAGCAGCTCAACAAAACCTGAACCCGACCCACTGTAAACAAATTAATTATGATTCGTGTCATTCCTTTAGCCCTAAGAGTCAGTGAAACTTTGTCCAGATTCTGCTGTCTTCTCATGGGGATTGTTCTTCATTAATCAGGTCCACAAGGGAGGTTTGATCGCCTGGCAGCCCAGCAGCCCGACCAACCAGAGGCCCGACCCGCAGAGAGACGCTGCGGTCAGAGTTGCGGTGAACAAGCTTCAGCCGCGTCACGCCTCGACTCCAGACCCGCTGGAAACCCTGGGCGACCTGCACCGCCGCACCCACGTCCTCCAGAATGACCGCACCCCTTATTTCGTCCGCACCAAAGCAGGCGCTCTGTGCTTCCGTCAGGGCACGGAGGTGGCTCCGCCTAAAGACGAGACGTTGAAAGCGAGACCCAGCGTAGCTGGAATCGGTCAGCGGAGAATATTGCAGAAGCCTGACGAGTCACACACTTCAGCAAAATCAGTGGAGGAGTCCGGAGCCGCTCGAGGGAAGCCCAAGCGTGGCAAGCGGCTGGTGAAGTGCGTTTGTCGGCCGGGATGGCACGGTCCTTACTGCGGAGTGCCCACTATGGTGTACCACTCCAATCTGCCCACGAAAGAGAGACTGACCCCCCGCGAGATGCCTCGACGCGTCATAAACGCCATCAACGTGAACCACGAGTTTGACTTGTTGCACGTGCGCTTCCGCGAGCTCATCCGGGCCGTGGATCTCTTCCTTGTGTGCGAGTCCAACTTCACGGCGTACGGAGAGAGGCGTCCGCTGAGGTTCCTGCATCTGCTGCTCAACGGAACGTACAATTACGTGCGCCACAAGATCCTCTATGTCTTCCTGGACCATTTCCCAGAGGGTGGCCGACAGGACGGATGGATCGCCGATGACTACCTGCGCACGTTCCTGACTCGCGACGGCATGGCGCGGATCGCAGGCTTGCGGCCCGATGATGTTTTTCTAATCAACGATGCAGACGAAATTCCAGCTCAGGAAGGAGTCCTTTTCCTTAAGCTTTTCGATGGCTGGACGGAGCCTTTTGCCATCCACATGCGGAAGTCCCTGTACGGATTTTTCTGGAAGCAGCTGGGCTCCCTCGAAGTGGTGTCCGGATGCACCACCGGGATGCTGAGGGACGTCTATGACAATGATGGGATTCGGCTCCGGCGGCGGGAGTACTACACCATGCCGGGATTCCGGAAGTACGAGAATGACACCGGCCACATCTTGGTGCAGTGGTCGATTGGAAGTCCGTTCCATTTCGCAGGCTGGCACTGCTCCTGGTGTTTCACGCCAGAGGGAATTCACTTCAAACTCATTTCGGCCCAGAATGGGGACTTTCCTCGCTGGGGCGACTACGAGGACAAACGTGATCTCAACTACATAAGGGAGCTGATCCGAACGGGGGGCTGGTTTGACGGCTCTGTGCAGGAGTACCCGCCCTCAGACCCTAAGGAGCACATGTACGCCCCCAAATACATGTTGGATAATTACGATCACTACCACTACTTGTTGGAGAACCCTTATGCCAAGCAGTCCAAACCAGGAGGCGCGTAGAGCAGAATGAGGGCCAAATGTTTGTAAAGATGGTTTGATTGAAGACAGTAAGGAATGGGAACAGAGAGGGAGAGAAGAGACAGCCGTCCTGTTCCTCTTTTTCCTCACTCTCATTGGTCCCAGTATCCAACACCGTCCAATAGCTGAAGTCTTCATGTGAACACAGGCCTTGCAGAGACCCAACAGAAATCCTTTCTGTTTTGGTCGATGTTTACATGAATGATTCCCAGCGTTCTTTGAGAGACTCTGCAATAGACGCGTCTCCTGTGTTCACTGTACAAGACTGCGTGTGTGTGTGAGAGAGAGAGTGAATGTGTGTGTGATCAGACTGAATTTCGTTGGTGCACAGACTTTCTTGCTTGCACTTCAGAATCAAAATAAGAAAACTCATTGCACAAATGCCACATTTTTGGGTTTGTTGACAGCTTGTAAATTCCTCCGAACTCAAACGTCTTTTTCCTCGGTCAGAAAAAAATATTTGTGTATCATTGTGAGCTGTTCTGAATGAGTTTGTGGATGAGAGAGAGAAAGAGACCATTCGAGAGAAACGGGCTTTGTTTGAGCTCTGCTGGGTTCTGATGGAGCTGATATGTGAGATTGTGCCGAGGGAGAGAGGTCCGCTCGGACAACACAAATTAGCTTCCTGTTTGAGAAATCCTTGCGGAAAACATCCTAAAGCTGGGAAAAGAGCTGTTTTCAGATCAGATATTTAGTTCAAACAGTCGTTAATGTGAACCACCCATGTTGTGCACAAGAATGGGGAGATGCCAGATAAAAATAAGACAGAAAGAGACTCTGTTCCAAACTAGTGAGATACCTACGTAGGCAGCATTTTAAGGCATTATAGCTGCATTCCAACACAAAGGTTGTTCCAAATCGTGTTCTGCCTTCTAATATACCTTCTTTTGGCCAAATTCAGAATTCTAAATCATCTTTTCCAGAGAAGGCATGATCCAAGAATGCATTGTGTGACAGTCTACTTGGAAAAAAATCCATCCAAGATGGCAAACAAAGACTTGCTGATTATAAATGCAATGTATTCAATACAGAAAAGCATTGATATAAACAGTTCAGTCCAATGTGTATTTTTAAAAGCATCCCGTTGTTAGCCTAGCAACATGCATCATGCTCAACTGGAATCAGCAATGCAGCTCACTGTGTTTTGGAACAGAGCCATGCAGTGTTTGGTGGTCTTGGCTTTCTCGTGCTTTAATTTTAAGTCAGAGTAGGAAACAGTTTCTTATAAAACCATGTGCTGGAAACTCCCTGTTCTCAGAGCTGTGAAGCCATCTGATCGCATTAGAGATCCGTGGGGAATTACATTTACACAGCAGCACCAGAGATCTGAAGAGATGCGGAAGATTTGACAGGGATTGTTGTAGGATAATTCTGTCATTTACTGACTCTCTTTTTTCTGGGGCTGTTAAAGTCAACATGAAATTAACATCGACTCTCTTAATTCATGTTCGTGTCTTGTTGTGAATGATTCACCATTAATATTCTGAAGAATACAGCTGACATCCTCAATCCTTCTTTATCAAGCACCTTCATGTTGAGACACCATCTGATCAGTTCATCATGAAAAAAAACTCAAGTCCCATCCTACATTTAGGATCAGCCATAAACAAACTCCCGCAGACATAGAAACATTCCCGAAGGATATTATCTCTGTGTCAGACATGCTGCTAAAAACAGGTCTCCAGATATAGGAAATATCTGGGCGGGGGATTAAAATCACCATCCAATATGTGAACACAGGCCTTGCAGAGACCAACAGCAAACTGTTTCTGTTCTGTTTTGGTCAATGTTTACATGAATGATTCCCAGCGTTCTTTGAGAGACTCTGCAATAGACGCGTCTCCTGTGTTCACTGTACAAGACTGCGTGTGTGTGTGAGAGAGAGAGTGAATGTGTGTGTGATCAGACTGAATTTCGTTGGTGCACAGACTTTCTTGCTTGCACTTCAGAATCAAAATAAGAAAACTCATTGCACAAATGCCACATTTTTGGGTTTGTTGACAGCTTGTAAATTCCTCCGAACTCAAACGTCTTTTTCCTCGGTCAGAAAAAAATATTTGTGTATCATTGTGAGCTGTTCTGAATGAGTTTGTGGATGAGAGAGAGAAAGAGACCATTCGAGAGAAACGGGCTTTGTTTGAGCTCTGCTGGGTTCTGATGGAGCTGATATGTGAGATTGTGCCGAGGGAGAGAGGTCCGCTCGGACAACACAAATTAGCTTCCTGTTTGAGAAATCCTTGCGGAAAACATCCTAAAGCTGGGAAAAGAGCTGTTTTCAGATCAGATATTTAGTTCAAACAGTCGTTAATGTGAACCACCCATGTTGTGCACAAGAATGGGGAGATGCCAGATAAAAATAAGACAGAAAGAGACTCTGTTCCAAACTAGTGAGATACCTACGTAGGCAGCATTTTAAGGCATTATAGCTGCATTCCAACACAAAGGTTGTTCCAAATCGTGTTCTGCCTTCTAATATACCTTCTTTTGGCCAAATTCAGAATTCTAAATCATCTTTTCCAGAGAAGGCATGATCCAAGAATGCATTGTGTGACAGTCTACTTGGAAAAAAATCCATCCAAGATGGCAAACAAAGACTTGCTGATTATAAATGCAATGTATTCAATACAGAAAAGCATTGATATAAACAGTTCAGTCCAATGTGTATTTTTAAAAGCATCCCGTTGTTAGCCTAGCAACATGCATCATGCTCAACTGGAATCAGCAATGCAGCTCACTGTGTTTTGGAACAGAGCCATGCAGTGTTTGGTGGTCTTGGCTTTCTCGTGCTTTAATTTTAAGTCAGAGTAGGAAACAGTTTCTTATAAAACCATGTGCTGGAAACTCCCTGTTCTCAGAGCTGTGAAGCCATCTGATCGCATTAGAGATCCGTGGGGAATTACATTTACACAGCAGCACCAGAGATCTGAAGAGATGCGGAAGATTTGACAGGGATTGTTGTAGGATAATTCTGTCATTTACTGACTCTCTTTTTTCTGGGGCTGTTAAAGTCAACATGAAATTAACATCGACTCTCTTAATTCATGTTCGTGTCTTGTTGTGAATGATTCACCATTAATATTCTGAAGAATACAGCTGACATCCTCAATCCTTCTTTATCAAGCACCTTCATGTTGAGACACCATCTGATCAGTTCATCATGAAAAAAAACTCAAGTCCCATCCTACATTTAGGATCAGCCATAAACAAACTCCCGCAGACATAGAAACATTCCCGAAGGATATTATCTCTGTGTCAGACATGCTGCTAAAAACAGGTCTCCAGATATAGGAAATATCTGGGCGGGGGATTAAAATACTGCCACCAAACCTTCATGGTGAAATATATATCACCACCAGTAGTCAGGAGTCATGAACTCATGCTTACAAATGATAACTCACTAGTGTCTGTGTAAAAGGTCATTCTGCTGTGACACCAATACGTATCCATGTGGCCTGTTCATGCCCAAGAGTGCCAAACAGCAGCACATTATAAACAGGCTAAAGATAGAGACAGCGTTAGATGTCTGAAACATAACAGATCTCAGCAGAGAGACAGGTGCTCAGTCTCCGTCCATAAGCATTTATAGTGTTCATCTGTCAGGATCTCAAATGTGCTTCATGCCATTGTGATTGCAGTGCGGTCGGGACCTTCGTCAGCCTTCATGCACGCAGTAAATTGCATGCGATGCAAACATCTCCACATGGATGTCTCCAAATCTGTGTGAATTCCACATGGGAATACAGTTGAAATGTTGAGTTTTATTCCAGTGAGCTCTGGTGATGCGCTTGCATTATTATCCTGAAAGTCTGGCATTAATGGGCAGACTGGAGGTTGTTTCATTTTAACTGAATCAGAATCAGTTCACATCTGCATATCAAGGAGCAGGAATATCTTTAATAACGGCCTTATGAATGACCTCATGAGTTGACATTTTACAGGCAGGAGAGCCAAACTCATATCTGAGTTCACATCTGCAGGGTGAGATCTGCCCATCCTCAACCGTCATGCCACATTTATTTCAAAAGAACATTTGACTTGATTTATTTAGGTTTGAACCTGTGACAGCAGTGAATTTAATGATCGTTTTTGCTCATTGAAATCAAATGAAGGGCCGTTGAGGTGTTTGGCTTTAGACTGGGAACTCACAGACTGCTTCAGATGATGGAAATCTCTCTCTCTCTCTCTCTCTCTCTCTTTCAGTTAACAAACATTCACTGTTTTGGACTTACTGTCATTTTTGTTTTGTGTCGTTTGCTGTTGTAAATGTTTGTTGCTGTTTACATTATTTATCTTATTTATTACTATCCTGTTTCTGTGTAGAAAAGGGAAGATTGATCTGTCAGAGGAGAGAGAAGTTCTTCTCTGACTCGGTAAGAAAGACTGAAACGTCTCTCTCCTCCACATCATCCCTCCATCCCATCCACTCGCACCGCATTATTCATCTTAAACATGATGGAGAAAGTCACTCATGAACCTTCTTGGCCAGAAACACTTTACACTAGTATGCAAACGCACGTGCTGTTGAGATTGGAGAGTTTCAACTGTTTGTGCCATTTAACTGGACATGATAGTAGCTAACTAGCTGTAAACATATTGATAGTTCAACTTTAAAGTCGTGATGAAATGGCAGACAAGTAGCATCAAATCTTTTCTTCTATATTGTGACATACATCCAAGTGTGTAATGAATTATCAGAAAAAGACAAATGTAGAGCATGACTTGGTTCTGTGCATCGGCTGTTATTTGGATGTTGAGATGTGGGCGTGGCATTCAAAAGTGAATGCAGATGAGCGTGAGCTTGCAGGGGCGGAGTTTAAGAGCACTAAATGTTTGGAGAAATCCTGCATATGTCACCAGAAAGAAGATTCAGTTATGACATTTTGATTAAACATTATAAGGTCAAAAAAGTACAAATTAATCATATGCACAGACAAATTATTCACAATAAGATCAATAACATGCATCTAGCAAGTAGACGAATTTGAATTGGAATTGGGTTAATTTTTATTTCACCTGCTGACTTCAAAGGCTGGAATACACTACAGGACTTTTAAAATCATAAAAGATTTTAAAGCACTAGGCATCATGCACTTGACAATTTTTAAGTAGTTTCAGACAAAACAGACGCTTAACAAATGAAAACAAAATGTGTTCTCAAATCGGCGCAAAGTAGCAAATATTTTCAAATAATATCACATTTCATATCTTCTGACTGGATGGAATCAAAGTCTGAAGCTACAAAAAATTGGACTACTCACCAGAACTCTGATGTTCGACAACTCGCGTCGACTCGGGGCAAAAATCTGTGCATAAGTCCTGTAAAGTATTCCAGCCTTTATCAAGAATCTCTTAAATTCTCTTAAATTCTTTCATGACTGAAAGAGAAAACTGACGCAGAAGGCGGCCGTTACGCTACCGACGGCTGAGGACGCAGCGCGCATGCGCAGTAAGCCGTTCTCCGGCACGTTTCCGTTCGCATACTTGCGTGAAGTTTGATTATTGTCTTTATCTCGCGTTTGTCCTGTGACTCACCTGTGAACGGTGTCGTGTATCAGGGGAGTTGTGCTCGCAGCTCACGTGCCGTTTGTTTTGCGATAAACGGATGAATGCGAACGTTCATATAAAACACAAGACAGCAGGTGTTTCACCACAGATCAAAGGAAATGATGACGTTAATCATGAGGTGGCATATGGACACACACGACACCTGGATATTAAATATGTGAGCACATGATTGAGCCCTTCCTACCGCTGTCAGCAGCTTCATCTGCTGTTTGAAGATGATGATTTGCGAGTGTCAAACGCTCAGGGCTCCACAAACACACGTGATGCTTCAGCTTCAGGAGATAACACTGAACACCCTGTGATTGTCGACACCAGCTGAGAATCTCCCGTGCTGTCAAAACTTCATATCTGCACTGCATTTTATGATTTTAAAGCGTAACTTATTCAGTGTATTCTGCTTTAATATATTGAAGGATATTTTCTGTCGTTATTTTTTCGGGTGAAGTTAACATTTCTTCTCATCTTAATGTGTAATCTTGTATAAGACGCTGAGGTGTATAACACAAAGATCATTCTGTCATATTTGTCACTATTATTAATGCACTGTATGGTTTTTGTTCCGTTAATCAAACCAGTTTCTCCTGTGATATGACTTCATCTCTCTCCGCCAATCACGTCCACTCTCTCTCTCTCTCCGCCAATCACGTTCTCTGTGTGGGGGAGTTTCTCATACTGGATCACAGATGGAATAATGTCTCTAATATCTCACCACAGTCAGATGATGGGCGTATCCGTGAGAAAAGTGAAAGTGTTTGAAAAGCAGAGAATCTCTTGAATTCTCTCCTGCACTGCTAAGAAGGAGCGTGTACATTAAATGAGTTTATACAATCCTTTTTGTTTTGTGTATATGAATGGCTATATGTTAACCTTGAAGAAAAATATAAAAAATAACAAATTCTATGACAAAAACTGTAATAAATGAATTTGAAAACGAGTTTGCGGAAGTATTTCCATTTCTTCACTACTGAACTGAGTGCACACTAGAGGGCAGCATGTGCGGTCTCTCAGACTCACGCTCACACTCACACACACACACACACTCACTCACACACACACACACACACACACACACACTCAAACACACACACAC